CGAAACAAGATAAGACTAGTAGTGGCAAGTAAATTGACAAAATCGACGCCCACAACAAACTTGTGTTCTACTCGTGCATAGAAACTACGCATAGACCTAGCTCATGATGCCACTGTTGGGGATCGTTGTAGAAATTAAAAAATTTCTACGCATCACCAAGATCAATCTATGGAGTAACTAGCAACGAGAGAGAGGGGAGTGCATCTTCATACCCTTGAAGATCGTGAGACGGAAGCGTTGCAAGAACGCGGATGAAGGAGTTGTACTCGAAGCGATTCAGATCGCGGTGGATTCCGATCTTAGCACCGAACAACAGCACCTCCGCGTTCAACACACGTGCAGCCCGGTGACGTCTCCCGCACCTTAATCCAGCAAGGAGGAGGGAGAGGTTGAGGAAGAAGGCTCCAACAGCAGCACGATGGAGTGGTGGTGATGGAGTGGCAGTTCTCCGGCAGGGCTTCGCCAAGCTCTTGCGGAGGAGGAGAGGTGTTGGGGAGGGGAGGGGCTGCGCCTTGGATGTGGTGGTGCAGCCCTCCCCTCGCCCCTCTATTTATAGGAGAAGGGGGGAGGGGGGGCCGGCCCCTCTAGATGGGATCTAGAGGGGGGCGGCGGCCAAGGGGGGAGGGGGCTTGCCCCCCAAGCAAGGGGAGGCGCCCCCCGCCCCCTTAGGGTTCCCCTCAACCCTAGGCGCATGGGCCCTAGGGGGGCGCCCAGCCCTCCAAGGGGCTGGTTCCCTTCCCTCTACAGCCCATGAGGCCCTCCGGGACAGGTGGCCCCTCCCGGTGGACCCCCGGAACCCCTCCGGTGGTCCCAGTACAATACCGGTATACCCCCTAAAACTTCCGGTGACTGTATGATGACTTCCCATATATAAATATTCACCTCCGGACCATTCCAGAACTCCTCATGACGTCCGGGATCTCATCCGGGACTCGGAACAACATTTGATAATCACACACAAATCTTCCTTATAACCCTAGCGTCATCAAACCTTAAGTGTGTAGACCCTACGGGTTCGGGAATCACGCAGACATGAACGAGACTGCTCTCCGGCCAATAACCAACAGCGGTATCTGGATACCCATGTTGGCTCCCACATGTTCCACGATGATCTCATCGGATGAACCACGATGTCGAGGATTCAAGTAATCCCGTATACAATTCCCTTTGTCAATCGGTACGTTACTTGCCCGAGATTCGATCGTCGGTATCCCAATAACTCGTTCAATCTCGTTACCGGCAAGTCACTTTACTCGTTTCATAATGCATGATCCCGTGACTAACCACTTAGTCACATTGAGCTCATTATGATGATGCATTACCGAGTGGGCCCAGAGATACTTCTTCGTCATACGGAGTGACAAATTCCAGTCTCGATTCGTGCCAACCCAACAGACACTTTCGGAGATACCTGCAGTGCACCTTTATAGTCACCCAATTATGTTGTGACGTTTGGTACACCCAAAGCACTCTTACGACATCCGGAAGTTACACAATCTCATGGTCTAAAGAAATGATACTTGACATTAGAAAAGTTTTAGCAGACGAACTACACGATCTTGTGCTATGCTTAGTATTGGGTCTTGTCCATCACATCATTCTTCTAATGATGTGATCTCGTTATCAATGACATCCAATGTCCATAGTCAGGAAACCATGACCATCTGTTGATCTACGAGCCAATCAACTAGAGGCTCACTAGGGACATGTTGTGGTCTATGTATTCACACATGTATCACGGTTTCCGGTTAATACAATTATAGCATGAACAATAGACAATTATCATTAATAAGGAAATATAATAATTATTATTTTATTATTGCCTCTAGGGCATATTTCCAACAGTCTCCCACTTGCACTAGAGTCAATAATCTAGTTACACTGTGATGAATCGAACACCCATAGAGTTCTGGTGTTGATCATGTTTTGCTCGTGGAAGAGGTTTAGTCAACGGATCTGCGACATTCAGATCCGTATGCACTTTGCAAATATCCATGTCTCCATCTTGAACATTTTAACGAATGGAGTTGAAGCGATGCTTGATGTGCCTGGTCTTCTTGTGAAACCTGAGCTCTTTGGCAAGGACAATAGCTCCAGTGTTGTCACAGAAGAGAGTCCAACCATCATCATCTCTGATTAAGCAATCTGTAATCCCCTCAAAAAACAAAGCAATCCATAACCCATCAAAGAAAAATCATGCGATCCGCACTCGCCTCTCTCTCTCTCTCTCTTGTTTGGGCTTATCGTGCAGTGCAGTGCACGACCAAGGCATTCCGAGTAGAGAATCTGTGCTGATCCGATCGATGTGGTGTCAGAAGTCAGGAGCTAGAGAGTGGCGTTGGTTGCCACCAACACGTGAAGGAGGTCGACCACACGACGCTGTGCAGACCCCAGAACGGCAATGGCATCGCGTGGTCTCTACTCTACGTTCACCGCCCATACCAGCAGCAGTATCATCTTTCTCTTCAGTGCCTGGCGCTGGCTGCTCAGCCCATCTCGATCCTCAAACCTATGTAAAGCTGAGCCAAGGTCGAGGAAGCTGGATTTTAGATGCTACATGCAGTTAATTAATTCGTTTGCGGAAAGTAGCAGCAACAGTGCAAAAAAACATACTCCCTCCATTCACAAATATAAAATGTTTTAACTTTTTCTAAATCAAATGTCTATAGATGCATTTTCATGTCTTTGTTCACTCATTTTGATTTCTATGTAGTTTGTATTAAAATATTGGAAACATCTTACATTTGTATGAGCGGAGGGAGTACCACTTTACTACTACCTTTGTCCTAGTTTACTGGTAACCGCGTATTATGGGTCATATTTTGACCGTAGATTTAACTATAATAAAATAGAAAATATATGTAACAAAAATAATATCATTAGAAACTACATTCAAATGCGAATTCAATAATATAATTTTTTTTGTGATATGCATTAACATTTTGCTATTCAAGTATGTGGTCATAATTTGACCTAAAATACGAGGGGGAATAGAAGGAGGTAGTAGTATTTGTTCTTTGGCCCAAACTAAGAGGGTGTTAAATCTAAATGAAGATCATACAAAGAATCCTATATACTTAAGAGAGTGATTTCCACTAACTTATTTATCTCAGCGTGTAAGCATGACACAACACCATACAATTATGGATGGGGTAATACCCACCTCAACATGCAACCATGCATGAAAAAAGACTCACCACCACATGCAACCATGAATGGGAAAATACGTTTCATTCTATTATTCTACTTATATGTTCAATAAGCATTTTACAACTATACATAATCAAATATGACAAGTATAATTTTGGTTCACATGTTATCAATGTAAATAATTCTATTCCGCACAATCAAAACTGATTGAAATATATTGCAATTGATTCCCGCAACAACGTGCAGAGTATCATCTAATATATACAATGGGGTGACACTGAGCTAGGCACGTCCGCACCGTCCACTCATTTATTTGCTCTTTGCAAAAGCATCATCCATAGACCAATATGGACTCGGTGGACTGTCGCATGTTTGTCATTTGTTTAGCAGAAACGCTAAAAAAACTCTTTACCAAAACAATTTCCAAAGTCCTCAAGATATTTCTTTGAGTTTTCCGTCAGAAAAGAGACATAAAGATCGATGAATGTGCATGTTGCAAAAGAGTGACAAACATAGAATATGAGTGTATGATGATGGGGGAGAAAGACTCTTCCATCTAATACCCGTCTCCTCTGTCACCACCCCCTACATCCTCATCCCCGTTGTCGTCACTTTTAACTTTGATTCGAAACAGGCTACCCCTTCACTATGGAAACCAATGCAAGCAGCCTCATAACTGGTTTTTGAATGGTGGCCTCCCTATAAGAACGCTACTTTGCGTGGTGATTTTGTTGAGTGGCCATTGCGATCACGCCAAATTCACAAACAATTGTCTCATTCTTTTTTTTAATTTTCATTCATTATCTTAGGTAGCACGAGAAAAAAAAATACAAACAAACTGTATTCTGATTTATTTGTGGAGCGAACACCACACCAATGCTACGTCAAGACAGTGAGACGAAACGACCATCCAAAAACAAACCATCGTCTTACATTTCATTACCGATTCAAATTTTTTTACCTTTAGGGTGTGCGCCTTCGATGGAAGTTCGCTCCCATCCACAGGCTTCTTGCATATTGACCTTTGCTCTTTTCTATAAAGTTAAGGTATGCCATTGGCGTACTCTCAAAAAAAATATTTACCAGTTTTTTCAACATTTTTATAGGAGTTTATATGCGACGTTGTTCTTTTTATCATTTTTTGTAGTCTACATACACCATAGGGTTCAAAAATTACCAATCAGACCGTTGGAGGGGGGATTAGGCATATAAGTTTTCTAGTAATAAGCAGCATTTGGGCCAGGCCTAGGGCTGTAGAGCGCTTTACCCCAGGGCCCAGGGCTCCATTCCCCAGCCGCCCCAACCCTAACACATGTAGGACGCCTCCTCCACGGCGCCGTTGGCTCGAGCTCGTTTGAACGCTCGCTGCTCCTCTGCTCCACTCCGCTCCCGGAGCTCGCCCCCTCCCCTCTCCACCGCCCGCTCCAGCGCGGCTCGATCCGGGCTCCTCCTCCGCGGCGATCTGGCCCGGGCCAGGGCGCTGGCCCCGCGAATCCGGCGCCGCTGACCCCCGGCGGAAAGGGCGGATCTTGGCGGCGTCCTCCCCCCGGCCGCTGCCCCCCCGGGGCCTCTCCCGGCGTCCCCTTCTCAGGTGAGGGCTTCCTTCCTGCATTGCTTGATAAATCTTCCGAGGGGCGCAGGGCGTTCTGCTATGGTGTTTGGGTCTTTGGGTCTCTCCGGGTCGAATTCGAGATGGAGATCGGGTTTGGGCGGATTCGTTCGTCGCCGGCCCTTTCTTGATCAGCTTGCTTCGGAAGCGTTTATGTTAGGTTGAATGTGTCTCCTTTTCTTCCGTTTCTTGTGCTTATGCGTGCCGTCTCCGCTTGCAGGTTTTAGGTGGCGGGGAAGGGATGGATGTGGAGAGAGCTGCGCCCAAGGGGCATGGCATCCTCAGCCTCTTTGATTGGGGCAAGAGCAAGAAGTCCAAGAAGCGGCTGTTCGCCGGAGGCGGGGGCGCTTCTCCGACGCCAGGTAAGCAAATGCGTTCTATGAGTCAGAGTGTAAGGCAAAAGTGTTCTGGGAGGCAGGGCCTGACCTTACACATCAATTTCTCTTTGCAGGGAGCACGGCAGATGGCAAGGAAGCCGTTGGCAGCAGGCCGAGCACGCCTTCAAACTCGGTTCGTTTTCGGGCGTTTGATCTTTCTGTTTGTAGTTCCTGCTTGTTGCTTGCTGTCGTTTTAATGGGTGAAACTTTGCACATTGGCAGATCCTCGAAGATGTGTCGAGTATGAGGGAAAGTAGCGAGCATAGCTCGTCATCCTCGGTAATTGATGAGGACGCTCGTGCGATGAAAGGACCCACTGTTGTGGCGAGGCTGATGGGTTTGGATTCCATGCCTGCGACCAGCTCATCTGGATCCTACCCGATTCCTTCTACCGCGCAGCAAACCTTCACAAACAATGTCCATGATGAGTTCATTGGCAGAAGCTACATTGGCAGTCCTAGTCCTCATAAGATGCCGAGTAGCCCTATTGACCGGTTTGGAATGGAAGCGCTGCCTCAGAGATTTGCCAAAAGGTCACTTTCAGGTGCGCAGCACAAGTTGTTCTCCCCGGTAAAGAATCCTAATCATACGTCAGGCAGAAATGCTGCTGATATAATGGAGGCGGCGTCTAGGATTATTGGGCCTGGAGTTGAGAGTAATAGCTCATACAGAGCTCGGGATGTTGGGTACTCAAATGTCGTGCGTGCCTTCAACACATCAGAGATTGTTAGGGTCCAGCAAATGTCCCAAGCGGCGAAGAAGCGTGACACCTCAGCATCTGCTAAGGCACCGAGAGCAAAACCTTTTGATGGAAGTTTGGTGACTTCAGAGACAACCTCTTCTTCCAGGTTCTCAGAGTCAAATGGAAATGCTCCAGTTGCTCCAAGGGTCAAGGCCGCCAGTAGATTTTCACTAGATCCGAGAGCTGCAAGTACCCAAGGAAGTGGAGGTAGAAGCAAAAACAGCAGGAAGCCTGCAACTCATATGGATCCAGAACATAACATGGCCGAGAGAAATCGGGGCAACCAACAAAAGAGTAATAACCAAACTGTTGCAAGCTCTTCCAATTCGCTTGAGCAAAATAACAGAAAGCGCAATGCTATGGGTGTTAAGCACAAGGTGAATCCAAAGTCAGCAAGACTCAGTCAACAGGGAAGCAACACACATTCAACAAATGCCTCCCCCAGGAAGGCCGGGATCACCAGCACCCGTGCTGAAAGCAGTACGAAAGTCAACACAAAGGGAGAAGTGCAGCCAACCAACTATGCAAACAGAAGATTAAATTCTACAGCTAAAACAATCCCCAAACCGAGAAGATTGCCAGATGGGAGGATGAACCCAAAGAAAAACCAGTCAATTGATAAAATTCTCGCCGAGAGAATTCAAAGGCGTGTTCAGAACAATATTGGGACAGATGAACAGTCATCTTCCTCCACAAACAAAAACAAAGTCAGCACTGAGATTGTTTCATTCACATTTACCTCACCAGTTCACAAATCATTACCTGGTTCTAGATTTCGCAATCATTCAGTGGAAACACGGTCAATAGAGAGCATGAACTCAGCACCAACTTCAAGCAGTACATCGAATACTAAACCTGATGACATAGATGGTGATTATTTGGGAATTCTTCTGGAGCAGAAATTGAGAGAATTGACCTCTCGGGTAAAGTCACCCTATTCTAAGCCAGCCAATGGGGTTCGAGTATACGCCCCTTCACCAGGTTCGGAAGATACATCTAGCATTGCATCTACTGAGTATGATAGGGAGTCGTCTCAGCCTTTCAAGGACGGAAAAAACAAATTCCACCAGAACGATCTTGAATCGAAAAGTGGTCAGGTATGTCACCCGGGACACTTATTTTCCTATTGTACCTGTTTCTTGTTGACTCATTGTTATATGCACACTATTTTCTTGTGAGCAACATCATTTGGTTAATGCCAGAAGGTTTGATGATGCTCATATCTTGAGTTGAACATAGGAAAATTAATCATCCCATTAAATAGTTAGGCGTAGTGTACTATTTTCTCCATGTAGCTATGTGCATACTAGAGTCCACACATGTGATTAGTTTGTCTTGAAATACTCCTATTTCAAGTCTGAGACGACTTGGAGTATATCTTTGTTGTCTATTCAAAGTAAGAGCACTATACTTACAGTGGGTTTCTTCGTACGTGATCAATTATAAGCATAGTTAGGAGCACTGAATTGGTGCCATAGAGATAGGGATGAAATTCAGCTTTGTATAGCACATCAATAGTTTGAACACTTGAACCTTCCGAGTTTGTGCTAAAGCCTGCATTTTTCTCTATATACATTCATGACAGGTTAAGAAATGGTTCATGTGCTAACAGATTTCTCTTTATGGCCAGTCGTCTCAATCTGTGAAGTTTGATAATGATTTCGTCGATCAAGTGGAGTTGGAGCATCTTCACTTTAGCCCCCGTTCTACATGGGAAGTCTCCGTTTCAACAGAAACGGAAACCTGCTGCTCTGCAGAGAGCTGGACAAATGCAAACGGTGAGCTTTACAGAGCAGTTGTTTGGTTGTTGCTATTTCGCACTAGCCACATGCCTTCCACAAAAACATTTTCTATAACACTTGCATCTTTTTGCAGAATCAAGGTTGTTTAGTTGTACAGAAGGAGCAGCAACATCTGGTTCTGCACAGGACGGTGGATCCCAAGAAGTGGACGCTTCATCCGAATATTCTGACACAGCGTCGTCAGTCACGGCGACTACAGCCGAAACAACACACCCATCAGAAAGCAGCAGCTCTTGTCGCGTGGACCGTGATCCGGAGATAGACTTCCTGAGAGAGCTACTGAACGCCAGTTCTCTCAGCGGACAGTCTTCATCCGTTTTTGAGCGGTCGGGCAGCTCAGCCATCCTGGACCCTCGTCTGCTGGAAGAACTAAACACAAACAGGAGCTCCAGGCTTGCAGCAGCAGCAGCGCCAGGCGGTGAGGAAGACGGCGGCAAGGCCTCGAGGATGTCCCGGCGGCTGCTGTTCGACTGCGCGAACGAGGCGCTGAGCGGCAAGTGCGCCTACTACCTGGACGCGGGGTACGGGTCGTGGTTCACGGGCGCGGCGGTGCTGGTGAAGCTGTCGGCGGAGGAGCTGCACCGGGAGATGAGCGGCGGCGGGCTGCGGGTGGCGGAGGAGTCGATGGTGGACGAGCTTGTGTACAGGGAGATGGGCGGGCCGCGCGGCGGGGCGTGGGTGGAGTTCAAGACGGAGTCGTTCGAGGCCGGCAGGGATGTGGCGGCGGCGCTGCTGGAGGCCCTGGTCGACGAGGCCGTCGCCGACCTCCTCATGAGCTCCGGCTCCGGCGGTGCTGTTCCTTCCCATTGCTGTTGATTGATTCATTGTTGTTTGTGCGTCGGTGTGTTTGATTGATGTATGTAGAGTCATGGAGGATGATGGTTGGTCTGTTATTTTTGTCTAGTGGAAAGGAAAATAATGTGTCGCCTGGTTAAATTTGTTCCGGTGTGTGTTTTTGCATGGTCGTGGCTGCCGTGGTTGCCATGGCAGCACCCAAAGTAGCTCCGCCGTCGCTTGTGAGGGTAGTGCAGTGCGGTGCAGATGCGTCCGGGAGCGCCCGTTTTGGTCGTGGTCCGGCCTGGGCCGTGTCGTGTCGTGTCGTGTGTTTGCCGTGTCCGTGTGCGCTTGTATTTGTCTCACTTGCTCGGGTGGCCGTCGTGTGCACCACTACCAGTACCAGGTGCAGGTAGTAGCACTCCACTTGGTCATCATGGAAATCTGGGAAAGGTTGTGCTAGGATCGACAAAAGTGCTTATTCAATCATGGAAAGTACTCTAACAACATAAACGGATTAGTACTGGTTTATCGGTCCCTTTTGTAATTTGTGTCAAATTTTGATCAAATATTTAACTAACAAGATGTTAATATACATCTTATCAAAAATTATATCGTTGGGTTCGTATTGAATATAGTTTTCAATGATATAATTTTTGTGATATGCATGAACATTTTGTTAGTTTAATTTATAGTCAAAATTTAGCACAAAATACTATAGAAACAAATAAACCAGGACGGAGGCAGTGGTATTTACAGCGCCTTTTGCCTCCGGTGGTGTGCGGTGTAGTGCTTCATCACTGTCAGTTGTCACCAACCTACGCACAACGGGGCGACTCAAACTTGAAACCACCCCAAGCTGCAGCCAACTCCATTACATACGTACATATGCGCCTGAGTGACAGACAGCTGACAGAGCGCCCCGGCGGTGGAGGTTGTGCGTTGCGTGCAGCAGGAAAAGAAGAGCATCTCATCATCTCTACGTAGGAGTATGACAAGAGTAGACAGGAAATGATCCAACGCCAACCGCCAACAGTACAGTACAGTACATGGTCCGTCACTGTCAGGATGGAATGGCTTAGCAGGAGACGGCCAGCGGTTTGGTGTCACCAACGGTATCAGTGGTTACTACTACTAGTATTTATGATACAAGAACCGATGGAGCTGATAGGGGACCGAAATGCATGTGTACGCGCACACATGGACGTGTTTGGTTCACATCTATGTTTTAGGGCATTTTACATACTTGTCCTAGTTGGGCCTGGTTTGACAAATGCAGAATATCTGCATGTAGTTTGGTTGTCTGCATTAGGCTTCATGCATGAGTGGATCAAATTGTCAGCATGCTGTTTGGTTGCCTGCATTAGGCTCCATGCATGAGGGGATCAAATTGTCAGCGTGCTGTTTGGTTGCCTGCGTCGCTGTTGTTAGACAAACAACACGTTGTTTGGTTGCAAACGGCTACAGATGTGATCACCACTTCTCACTAGTGATGACCTTACCATACACACTGAACATTGTTTTGTCCTAACTAGGAAACAAATGCCAGTTTATCCTAGCTACTAGCAAATAACAGTACAAATTATGTTGGCTAAATAGGGAAAGTTCAATGCTGCTAACTAGTTGGAAGTTCATCCTCTTCCTCTTCCTCTGCTACTGATGTGCTGCTTCATCTTATTCGCTTCAGCTACTGCTTCTTTCTTCTTCTTTCTCTTGTTCTTCTGCTTCAGATCCTTGTCTAATCTTTGTTATCCCACATTGCCTAAGCCCACTCCAACCTTTTATTCTTCCATGCTTCGTTGTCGAACGCCTCCGCACCATGGCCGGAGCTGATCACCTCATCATGAGTCACATCTTGCTCGTCCGGCACAAGTTCATCAACACCCCATTGCAGGATCCAATTATACAGAATGCAACATGCAAGAACAACCTTAACCTGGGCAAGGTAAGGGTGGAATGGCTTCTCATCCAGGATCTTGAACCTGTTTTTCAGAGCTCCAAATGCCCTCTCAACCGTTACTCTAAGGCTAGAGTGTCTCAGATTGAACAACTCCCGTGGAGTCCTAGGATAGTTCCTACCAGAGAACTCGTTCAGATGGTACCTGATTTTCCTGAAGGGTGAAAGAACACCTGGCCGACATGCATAGCCAGCATCTCCTAGGTAGAACCTGCCATCGGGGATGGTGATGTCATCATGACGACTCATGATGTCACTGAGAATGTTAGCATCATATGCTGATCCTTCTCAGTCAGCCAACACATATGTGAACTTCAAATAGAAGTCAACACCAGCTAGCACATTCTGGCTTGTGTACTGCTTCCTCCCTCTATATGCCGCAGCTTGTGACCTCGACACTTTGGCAGTGACAAGTGCCAGTGACATGAATACCATCTATTGCTCCAATGCAATCCTGGAATGGTATTACAATATGTTGTTAGTGCTCACCTTGAAGTATGGCTACAGAAGAACAATAACAACATATCAAGGCATGAACTACATACTGTCGGTGCTCACCTTGAAGTATGGATACCATCTTGGGCTAGGGCGAATCTTGATAGAAATTCGGTCGGTTGGTGACCTGATCATCTCTCCTCTAAGCTCCCCAACATCACTTGCTTGAAGTACCTAGAGATGGTCTGCATTGATCTCCTGAAGGTGTTGTGTACAACCCTGAGCCTCTGGTTATGACCAACAACATGGAGGAATATGGCCACTTGCTCTTCCACAATGGTGTGGATGCTATCTTCTAGCAGCCCCCTGCTCTTGGTCTGCACAAGTGTAACGCCCCGAGACCGACGCTCCAGATGCCTTCCTTGTATTCCGAGAGTCGTCGTGTGATTTGTTTTGTTCGTTGCATTCATCCTTGCATCATGTGCATTGCATCATGTCATCATGCAACCCCTTTTTAAAACTCACCTAAATAAATTGCATAGATCGTTGATCTATTTAAATCGAGGGATATTCACATGGTGATTTCTCTTTAAACATATTCAAAGTCTCCTACTATTATTAGGGAGCTATAATAAATATTTCATTATTCGGAATTGATCATAACACACTTGCAAATAAATCCCAATGCCTTTGTTATCTCAGTTCTTGGTCTCCAACTCTGCCCATAAATTCTTTCGTCATTTTCCCGAGCTCCACCAAAATTCTCAACATTTTTGAACACTTCTAAATCCTAGTCCTTGTTCAAACCATTTGAATTAAATTCAAATGACTTTGAATTTAATTCTTGCAATCTTGCCCACTCCATTTTTCTTGGGTCAAGCTCATTTTTGTGAGTCTGGGAAAATTATCCGCATGCGCAAATTCTTTCCCTAACCTCTCTTTCCTTTCTTTCTCATCTCTATTTTGTTTTTATTTATTTATTTTTAGAGTGAGAGAGAGCCCAGCAGCCAGGTCGGCCTGTTTCCCTGCAGCCCTTTTGGCCCAAAGCCCAGTCATCCCCATCTTAACCCTAGCCTCCTGCCGATCCCCTCGCTCTCTCCCTCGATGCCGCATCCAGCGCCGCCAGGAGCCTCGATCCCCATCTCCCTCCGCTCAATCTCCTCCTTCACGCCCCGCGCCTCACCTCCCATGGCGCCCGCAACCATGTCTCCTCGCTGCTGCTTCCGCCATGGCGCCGCGCCCTGCTTCTCCTCCCGCGCCGACGCCCTCCTTCGGCTGCTCGTGCCTGCAGCTCCGTCCGCGAGCTCGTGCAGCCATGGCACCACAGGAGCCCCGCACCCGACCCCCTCGCCGAGGCCATGGCCGCCACTGCGCCTTCTTGCCTTTGCGCCTTGCTCCCTCCTGCTGCCAAGCGTCGTCATGCCCCTGCCGTCCCCGTGCCCTACTGCCTCCTAGAGTGCCGCGCCGTCGCCATTCGTCTTCAACCGCGGGAGCGCAGTCCTCCTCCAACCCCGTCCAGAATCCGGCTGGCCTCCGCCACCCTTGCCCGTCCTCGGTCGGATCTGACTCTGGTGGCCCGTCCCCGTCGGAGTTGACCTCCACCGCAGGCCACCCGCGAAGCCTCAGGAGGAGTGCCGCTGCTGCCTTGCTTCTGCATCATTCGTCAAGTCCCGCTGGAGGCCACGCGCGAGCCCGCATTGACTTCCCCTGCTCCACCAGTCTTCAACCTCGACGCCCTGACCGAGACCGACAAGTACCACTACGCGGATTCGCCAAGTCCGACTACAAAGTGAAGACCATGCACCACTACTGTTCCTGTGGATTTTGGCAAGTAACCCTATGCACGGATACGCCAAGGTCGACTACGCCTGATGATACGACAAGTACCTGTACCGATGACCCGAACGTCTACGACCCATGTACAACTACCGTCGCCAAGATCACGAGTACCTCTACCGTCGTCGTGAACGACTACTTCCACGACGTCCGTGAACCACTACTTCCACTACCGCCGCAAGAACGACTACTTCCCCTACGACCCGTGAACGACTACTTCCCTCGATGATTTTGAACCGCCCCGAAACGCACGCTTCAAAGGTATAACCCACGAGTCGACCGCCGAATGCTTTGTGTTGTATGAGATGCTCGTGTTTGCACCGCGCCCGTTTTGTCACTCGTTTCCATGCCACCGATATGTGGGACACCCAGTTACCGGGATCACCCCACCATCCTTGCATGACTCCTTCACGTCACACTTCCTTTTGCACCGGTATCTCCGTGAGCTACCGGAACCGATATGTTGGTGTGGCATCATTTTCGGATTCGTTGCCGTGGCACCCTTTTTTTTCCGCCATGGTAACCAAATGCATCATAACATGCTCATGTCAACATTTTCATAAAAATCGCATAAAACTTGCATGTCATCCGCATCATGATAACTATTTTTAAAATGTTTAAAATTGATGTCTGCATTAAAATTGCTAAATAACATATGGGGATTTTCCAGAATTGTTGTTTGTTGTTTCCGGCCTCATTTAAACTTGCCTAGCTAGGTAGTTTTATTATGCTTCACCCCCTTGCCATGTTTAACAACACTTAATATTGTTTGGTAGCTTAAACAAGATTAAACTAAATATGTCAATGTGGTGTT